CTGCGTAAAAACTTGCTGGATAAGTTGGCGGTTCATTCCGCTGTGGCGACCCCGGATTAATAAAGGGGCTAAGCCGACAAGAAAATGAATGAATAATTGAACAAAACACAAGTAAATACCGCTATTCCACCTAGTTTCTCCCTATATTGTTTACCACGAAACTCTAAATATTCGCTCTGAAATAGCATGTCAGTTTGGCTTAATAATAAGTGTAATTCCTGCACGCAGCCGGACAAGCACTTGTCGCCTTTAAAACATGAGATAGGGTTCTTTTGCTGTGCTCGTGTTTCAGGAGGCATGGCTCTAGACGGCAGGGACTGTTATTTAGAGATTTATGCTTAGCTGTTAGCATTGTGGAAGATCACCTACTGCACCTTTAAGTAGCAACCCTATGCAATACCAAAATTATTAATATAAGGGATTGAGAAATTAGTAACAACAGTTAAAAGGAGTTGTTTTTTCAGTTTAATTCAACTATATTTTAATATAGCTTTTGTGATGTACATTGTGTCAAAGGAGCTTAATATAGAAGTTCTAGTAAATTGAAACAGGTCAGTTCAGTGTGGTTTAAATTTCTCTGCAGAAAGACCAAACACTGAGGAGCAAATCCATTGATGCACAGCTAAAAGGAGTTGTGAATTTAGGGATCACCTTCTGCATGAGTTTTTGCTTATATTGAATGTATTTATCCATGTAATTCTACATTTAAGTATAGGCCTGGGTGATTTTAAGTATAGGCCTGGGTGATTAATCAAAATGAAATTGCAAATGAGCAAAGCTGTGGTTGTCATGCACTTATTGTCAGGGAAGCACAGTTCTGTGATCAGTAGTAAATCTCCTCTGAAGTCCAGAAAACGCTGTTGCGCAAAACTCCAAATACCCCTGAAGAAGAAACACAGGGATCTCCATAGCATTGCTGAATAAACAGACAATTTAAATGCCTTCATTGATACAGTGTGACTAATAATCTTACAGAATGAGTTATTTCAAACACTAGATTGAATTTATGAATGTGTTTTAAGTAAAAACATTATAATGTGGTATTATCACATGCAACATTTACTACGCATAGTCATAGAGAAAAGCAAGCAGCTGTAAATATCGCAGAACAATTATTCCAATATCATTATCATCTGATTAAATAGATATCGAAATTATCTTATCAGTGACCTACAACTCTATAGGAGATACTGCTCAATTTGAAACCACATGCTGGAGGTTTACTAAAACTGGCTTCAGTATTGTCAGTATTGCTGTATGAAACCTTATTTTTACTGTCGACGGATCAAACTGAGCTCCTCTTTTGCACACTGTTCGCTCCAGTACCCTCTTACATAGATTATTTTGCTGTGCCAAGACCTAATTCGTTCCCAGCCTGCACTTTGTGCACTTGAGATTTCCAAAAAACTTATTTCTTATACCTTCTCTGTTCTTCATGATATCTCAGGATATTTACTTATTTTTTTTTTTTTTTGCAGGACTTTACAAAGCCTAGTTTACACCATCGCTGAGCATCCAGGCATACTGTGTAATGTCCAGAGGGGATGAAAATATAGCAGCCTGCCATCCTGTCTCAAAGTCTTTGCACCAATAAACAATAAATCTTCTTCCCGCAGGACCTGACATGCAGTTTAGCTCCTGTCAGGCAAAATAGATGACTTGACAGCCATGTAGTTATTTATATTGTTATTTAGCAGAAACTTTCAACTACAAGTTTACTTGCAACAGAGAAACACTCTCTATTGTGTCATATTTCTGTCTGATCTCTTGAGAAAAGTTAAAATTTTTCAAGCTGGTTCTGTTGATCATAACTTTGAAATTTTGAGATTCACCACTAAACCTTTGTGCGACACACTCTGGTCATAGGAAAATATACGAGACTGTACAAGTTCGTATGAATTTGAGAACTTACATTTTACGAAAGCAAATAGGTCCCCATTGCCACCAGTGTGCAGTATTCACTTGGATGATGTGACGGCAGCCACAAGACAACGGCGCTAGTGCGCTCACCACACACCAGCTATTGGGAGTGGAGAGACAGTGATAGAGCCAATTCAGTGGATGGGGATGATTGGGAGGCCATGATCAGTAAGGGCCAATGGAGGGAACTTAGCCAGGACACCACGGTTACACCCCTACTCTTTACGAGTAGTGCCATATGATTTTTTTTTAATGACCTCAGATGGTCAGGATCTCGATTTAACGTCTCATCCAAAAGACCGCACATATTGAAAGTATAGTGTCCCTTTCACTTTACTGGGGCATTAGGACTCACACACAGGGCCAGGGCGTCCATAGAGGCGACCTAGGCAGCCGCCTAGGGCGGCAGAATAGAGAGGGCGGCGTCCGCCACACTACCCTTACCACCCGCACCGTCAGTTATATCCGCGTCCCTGACACTACCCTCACCACCCGCGCCCTCAGTTATATCCGCGTCCCTGACACTATCACCACCCGCGCACTTCTTTCTATCCGCGTCTAGGGTGTCAGAATAGAGACGGCGGCTTCCGCGACACTATACACCACGCCCTCAGTTATATCCCCGTCCCCGACCCTACCCTCACCACCCGCGCCCTTCATTATATCCGCGTCTAGGGCGGTAGAATAGAGATAGCGGCGTCCGCGACACTATACACCACGCCCTCAGTTATATCTGCGTCCCCGACCCCACCCTCACCACCCGCGCCCTTCGTTATATCCGCGTCTAGGGCGGCAGAATAGAGAGGGTTGCGGTTGAGGGTGTCGTGACCGTCCTTTGCCTAGAGCGGCAGTTCAGCTTGCTCCGGCCCTGCTCACACAGACCACAGGTTGAGCACCCTCCCCTCTGGCCTCATTAACACCACTTCTAACAGCAACCTAGTTTTCCTATGTGACCAGACTCAGCCCTGCTTGGCTTTAATGAGAAACCGGTTTTGGGCTGCAGGGTGATCAATTTTGACTGGTGTTATTAGCCCTTTACACACAGTGATACCGGTAAATTAATGGAAAATTTCCAGAACGACTATACTGGTAAATTCAAAAAAGCGCTGTTCACACTTGCAAAGATCTTACAGAATTTTTCTAGAAGTGACTGTTCACACATCTATTCCAAAATACCGGTAAATTCTGGCATCATTACCCAGAAATTATTATTAGCATCTTATTGATAATTATTTACACAGTTGGCATTAAGAAGGAACATATAAAAGTTATCTGACTAACATACAGCGGCTAAATGTGTCTGGAAAAATATTCAAAGGTTTTTATTTTCATAAACCGCACGGATGTGAATGCGTCTGACTGTTCTAATTGGCTAAAGTAGATGTCTAACGTCAGAACGTTCTAGACGTGCACGCGCTCTTTTCAGCAATCTGCATTCAGATTTCCTTCTGCATTCATACAGCGCAGCATTCCAGCAAATTATCAGTAATGGTACAACTACTCTTTCCGGAAAATAGCCAGAACGAATTTACCGGTATTTTCAAAACGGGCCTGTTCACACATACAGACCTTTCCAGAAAATTGGCAGTAATTTTCTGGAAAGGTTTGTATGTGTGAAAGGGGCTTTAGGCTGTTCATTCTTAACCCTTTTGTGTGCACAATTACACCGATGTAATCAGCCTTGACTGATCCCTGAAGCGTTCGATCACACCGGTGTGATCAGAACATTCATATCTCACGTCATCAACTGCTAAAATTCAATTCCCAATTGTTGCTCGCACTAAGGCACAGCAAGCTTTTACAATTTATAGCATCTGTTTTGTGATTGACTGGATTAGTTCCATTGTGTGACAGCAAAATCCAACAAAAAGTTTTGTTGTGTGCTTGCCTTTTGATGGAATAACTTAAAACAGCCTTCTGTCTGAATTATTTTTCCACCACTTTTACTTTTATTCTCGTGCACTGAACTGTTAACAGAACAAACAATGAGAGCTCTTTGTTTTACTAATGCCAGCAGACGTTGAATTATCATGCACAGCCGGTCAAAAAGACTTTGATGGGGTCCGACCGATGCCAACAGTGCGGAAAACACTGAAAACTGACTGTGACTTCATTAATCTTATAAGATTAGAACAAATCCCATTGTGTGACATAGATCTAATAAACTTAAGTATGACATGTATGATAAAGATCCTATATTAAATCACACACCCTTTCAGAGAAAGCATTCTGCAGCTTTGAACAGAACTATCATTTCATTTGCAGTCCACAGGATGCCACTATAGAGCACATCACCATGCATTCTTTAAAAATCAAAATAACAAAATCATACAGTTTGGAATATGAACAACAGAAATTACTATTTTTTGTTGTTTTAATCCAACATACTCTCGAGAAAAAAGTTTATGTGTGTATATGTGTGTGTAGAAAATTTATAGTAAACACTTTTTTGTATTTCTGAATACATACTATGTAATACCATACTATAGTTAAGTTAAATTCACATGCTACTTTTACAATTGTTTTGTTTAAAAAAAAAATAAAATAAAGACATAAAAAATAACCCAATACTGTGAGAATGATCAGGTTTTTTTTACAACTATATGATAAATAATAGCATAGTTTTCAGTAAAAACTTAAGTGTACTACAATATTTATTAGTTTATCAGATCACACTGGGTGATGATACCACAGTGTGCTGTAGCATTCATTAACAAAGTGTTTTAAATACTCTAGCCTAATAAATACAGTATGAAACACTTTACTGTAGTTTGCTTATAAACAAAGTATCTACAATAAATTAGTATTTTTTATGTGTTTGTGTATATAACAGATTAGGTGTCATATGAAAATTCAGACCAAATTGTTTTAGTTTACACTATTATCCTTCCTTTCCTCTCATCCACGGTCACACGCCCGCTCCTTCCCGGCACATTAATTATTTCACCAGTCTACAGATATTAATGCGTTTTTTTCGAAGTCTCCGCTGTTTTAATGCGTTTTCCGAGTTTCTAACAAATAATTCACCCCATCTCGGGCGCGTGATGCCCTGCAAATTGAAAGATGGCGCGAAAGAGGTGTTGAGTCGGCGTGCGCGTTCAGGTGCACGGCACACACACATACACACTCTCCTCATGCAAAAACCACGCACTCAGCTCCGTCTGAATCATTGTCCTGCAGCTGCACGGACGGAATGCGCGCATAATCTCAGCGCTCAGCTGCTCTTTCTGCCCAGGGAAGGCACGCAGAGTACTGCCATGAGCTGTCGTGTCCAGTGACCCGCCAGCGATGGGATCTGACCGGCATACTGATACGCTCCGCCAGCAGCGTCAGCACCGGGTAGCGCGACAGACGCCAGGACGCCGCCACTTGGCTCTTCGATAGAGTTGCCCTTTTCTTTGCGTTTTGTAGTATCCTGACGTCGCGCATGCGTTGCTGTGTAGTTGAAATTGCTGGAGCGCTTCTTGAGACTAAGTTTGGGCTGCAGGTGCCTGTCGGTCGATGATGAGAGGGATGCGGATCGCCGGGGATCAGTGGCGTGCGGGGATCTTCTGTCTGCTTGTGCTCGTGGCTTTGACGCTTGGTCGTAGTCCACCAGCGCACAGGTAAGACCGTATCTGAATGATTTGTCTGCCTGCATACCATTCAGAGCCATGTTGAACAAGATGAATTAACTGGTTTCCCCAGCTTGTTTGATTTCAGAAAGGTTTGGGCACTTTTAGATAAACACCAGGCTGAGGGACTAGCTACAGAATCTTGGCCAGGTTGAGATCTTGTAACTAGGCTAGGAGACCCATTGAACTATTGCTCAAACTGTATTGGCTTTGCTACACCTGGTTTCTTTAATATCTGAAATATCTTCCTCAGTGTAAACGAACCAAGCAACATGTCATACGTCAAAGTCACTGTGGATAAACTACTCAAAGGCTACGACATCCGCCTCAGGCCTGACTTTGGAGGTATAGACATTATTGATTTAACCTCATGAACCCTTCTCTGTTTTCACTGATGGATGTGACTGTGATGAGACAATGTGTGAAAGAGATTGCATTGTTTTGTTTGTGTTTTTATTTATTTATTTTTTTTGCAGGTCCTCCGGTTGATGTTGGCATGAGTATCGACATCTCCAGTATCGACATGGTTTCTGAAGTGAACATGGTGAGTCCACATGCTGCTCTGATTGTTTAATAGATGGTGGGCTTTTAAGGAACGGGACATCTCTGTCAACACAACCCCATTAAGGCTACAGTGATAAATAAAGTGGGTGAATAGACTACAGTGCTTTTAGGAAGGAGCTATGGGTTGTTTTTTCTCTTGATTATATAGAAGCACAGCTGACTATAAGATCAGAGAGATATTGTGTCCATTTTGCATTGTGATTTGTTTTGGCATTGAAGGGACATAATCCTTTACTCTGAGTCAGCAAAGATGGACAGAATAAGCAATTTTGTGATGGAAGGCACTAAGATACCATAAACTATGCACACCCACAGGTTGGGGTTGGTTGGAGTGATCACTGTGTAAAAATAACAAATTCTAATGTAACATTGAAATAGAAATTATGATAAAGATGATTATAATGGCTACTGGACTGCTTAATATTTATGATGTACTGTAGTTTGTAGTTTGTGCTGGTTTCAGTGAGAAGTCACTGCAGTTTTTCTCATTCTTTTTTTATAATAAAATTTTAACAGTACAAAAAATACACATGCCAGGGGGTAAGTATAAATCAAATACAAAAATACACATTGTACACTGTAAAAAAAAAAAGTTGAGTTAACCTAAAAATTTAAATAAAAATTTGCCAAATTATTTTTTTAAGTTGACTGAGAATGCTGTTTTAATTCAAGTATACTTTATGGGATAATTTGGCACAACTTCAACCACTGAATCTTAATAAACTAAAAATTCTTTGCAGCCAGTTGGTTTAAAAATTTAAGTTAACTCAACTTTTTTTACAGTGGTAAATGCTCACACAAAGAAATCAAAATTCAACTCAAAGTGTCTTTAACTCATTTTGTTACTTTCACTAAACAAATATGCGGTTAATTTTTTTTATGGGTAAATTCAACTTTGAGCTCAAAAATATGTCCACCTAACTTACAATTTTAAAATGAGGTAACAATTGGTAAGTTGGATTTTTTTTATCGTGTATGCAATAATCAAATAAATACATTGTCTAATTTCCTAATTTTTAAAGTGTGTAGAGCTTTTTTACATAGAGAGTCTCCTTAAATTTAGTTTCTTATTAGTAAATTTACATTAGTAAATTTACATTTATTAATGTAAAATTTTGTTAGCAAATTAAGTAAATTTATATATATATATATATATATATATATATATATATATATATATATATATATATATATAATTTTTTCCCCCCTTTTGACTAGGGTACATAGTAAAGCCGAAAAGTACATATTCCCATAACAATAAAAGACATTTAGAACACTGAACATTGACTATGCACAATGCCAAAACAAGTGTAAAGTGATCTCCTTATTATTCATTACAAAAACTACAGTTTACATAAATCCCACTTTAAAATTTGCTGGATAAAATCTGTTAAGTTTATATGATATTTCTTCAATTTTATTTCTAGCATGATGTTTCTGTGGTAACAGCCACATGCTTTTTTCCCCTGCAAATCAGTTGATTCTCAACCCTTTTGACCTGATGATTTTCAACACATTTTGAGGATGATTCTTCTTGTTTTAAACTCTTTTTATTTAGAGAAACTCTAATGTGGATATATTATAAATAATAATGAAATTTGTTATTCAGGACCAAAGATGAAAATGTTCTTGAATAACACAATAATGTTTGCCATTTTTAGAAGAATAATCATTTTAAGGAACTTTCTGAGCATCTCAGTGAATCCCCAACATACTTATTACATTTAATTCAAAATCATTTTGCTTTCATTTGTCCAATAGTATCTGGATGCAGCCTTGATGATGCAAGCTGAGACTGCATATCTCAGTGATGCAATGTTAGACACAATGCACTCAGTGGAGCTAGTGACGTCACTGTGAGGGGTACGGTTAGGGGTGGGGTGAGGTGAGCACATTAAAAAGTACTGGATGTAGCTTAGATTGTAGCTGCTCCATTTCTCAGCTAGTTGTTTTTTAATCATATAAGTATAATAGCATTTTGTAAGATCAAGGCTTTTTCAGTTACAGTTTTCAGTTCAGCCCAGAATAAGTATGTTAGTTCATTTTTACATAAGTGGTACTGTACATTGTATTACAACATTATTTCACCCATAGTTTTAGGTTTAATTTTTTAAAGTGATTTGAAACACAGACTTAGACACTTTACTTATATGCTTGTGAAATATATAAAATCATTTTTTGGTATTTCAGTTTGATGCAAAAACCATATTGAGAAGTCTCATCTTTAACCATTTTATAAACTTAAAAAAGCAATTAAGGGAAATAAGAAGGTTTTACGTTGGCACAGGGTGTCAACATGACCTCATATTGACGTTGTACCCCAGTATACCCCAGTGTTGCAGGGACGTTGGATTTTGTTTGGAAATGAAATCAGGTTGACGTTAGAACCCAATGTCAGGCTGACGTCAATGACCAATGTCCAACATAAAATCAACTTAAAATCAACCAAATATCAACGTTTAATCATGTTACACCTTGACTTTACGTGGAAGTTACCACTATGACATCTATCAGACGTTGGGTTTGATTTTGGTCACTTTCTAACACAACCTAAAATCAACCAAATATTAACGTAATTTGACGGCGTAATTGATTGTCAAAATAACGTTGTCCTTAGACGCTGGATAGACGTTGAATTTTGGTCACCTGTAGTCATAACCTAAATCTAACCCAATATTGACGTCTTATGATGTTGTGTGACTGATGGGTTGTCAAGGATAGACCTCTTGTATTTACAATGGCAAGAAACCAATAATGTAACTTTAAAAAAGTTTGTGGAAGTTTTGTCTGCTGAATACTGAACAATCTATTAAACTCACAATACATCTGTTACCGAAGCCTCATTTTCATTTCTATGAAAAATTATAGGGGTCCTATAATGCTTTTACACTTAACTGTCTTTACTGTCTATTTTTTCTGCAAAGTAAATCTGCAGTAAAGACAAAGTCCATTCCAAAGGTAGATATTCTCTTAATCAGTAAGCACTGCTTCTGAAATCCTTCAAAGTCGCTGATTGTAGTTCTGATTTTTTTTCTGGGAATGTAACTCTAATAATGTGTTTGGCAGCTTGATAGTAATCTTTATGCATGCACATTTTGTGTCTGTGCTCATAAAACATCAAGATTTTATATTGACAGGGCCTTATAACCAGTGCTTAATTTGGAAATGAATAATTCCCGGAACAAAACCAGGAAATAAAAGTTACTGTGACCAACGTCCACCACACAATTTCAGTTTTCCCGGAACATGATGTCATTAAACGAGCATAACATGCCTGAACAGTCTTTTATTATTTTGTGCCATATATAACGTTATAGGTCAGTCATGGATAATAAAAACATGTAAACTACATGTGAAAAACAAATAATTAAACAATTCACTCAGTCTAATCTTCAAGAAGAGCCCACAGTTACCTCTTCTGTTATGTTTTTTGGCTGACTAAAATGTGGCAGGGTCAACAGGTCATTTACGTTTAAAAGACACACAAAAACACGCTTTTGCTTGTGCAGAGTATATTAAATTATCCATGATATACAGCAGATCTAAACTTGACTTATTTTACCTCTTTTAAAAAGGTCATATTAGGACGCCCTTAAAGTAAATTATTAAGGATATTAGTGAATCCCTCTTTTCCTGTAATAATGGTGATGGGTTTAGTCCCAGTCATTTTCTTTTTTAAAAGACAGAACAGGTGTATAGGAATAATAGTAAATTGCATGCTGAAATAAGTTTCAGCCTTGTCCGTTCCCCCCCTGTGAAAACATTCTGGGGATTTTCTAGGATATTCCCGGTCTAAAGATGAGTTTGTCACGTCTGTTATGACAGGGTGTCACATTCCCCATGCTGGAAAAAGCTTTTTTTGTGAATTATGGATAGTGGTTTTGAACAAAAGCCATTTCTGTGATGGTTTGTCATACATTAATTATTTTATCAGGCGGGAAGCCTTTCAGGAAGGACACACAGTGGTGAGAGGCTCAGCACAGAGATAGTTAGCATTTGCTGCAGGTCCATCCCTTGTGGCAAAGTCAAGGTACTAGAAACAAGTAAGAACTATAAACACAACATAAAACAAAGACATCTAACAAAACATTAACAGGACATGATGTCACAGGATACAACTATAAAAGGCAAAGAGATAGCTCCACTTGCATGTCTTTTTGTCTTGTCATAGTCATAATGTTGCCTTATCTAACCTGCTTCTCTGTAGAGATTAGCATTTAAAAGGAGCTGCTTTCTAGTTGATCTACAGAAAAAAAAGTGATTTATGTGGTAGTGGCGTAACGGATCACAAATCTCATGGTTCGGATCATGTTATGGTTTTTTAGTCACGGATCGGACCATTTTTCAGATCATCCAAAAAGGAGAGGAGAGAAATGTAATTTGCTTTCCATTTGTTACAAAAAACGTACAGCGAGACGATGCTTTTATCAAACAGAACTGAGAACCTGTTATTTTAATACAAATAAAATACAGAAGTAATCAGCTGAATATAAATAAATTGTAAAATATTCAGTACTGTGAAGTTACTGTTGCTACTGTTGCTGAAAACGCAAAATGTATAAGTCTAACATTATAATTTGTACAACCCATATTTTTTTTGTCTCATTTTCAATAAATGATTTAGTTTTTCACTCACAGTACTTCATGTTTCTTTGCTAGATGGATCATTTTTGAAGAATTATTCAGTTCCATATTTTTGATGGCTGGTTGTTGCTACCTTTTGGTTAAATAATGTAATTGCTGCCTACAACTTTCCTTTTTGAGCATTGTTAAATGCATATGACAGTGATTTTAATCTTTATCATAAACATGAGTGGTTGTATCTAACCTATAAACGGTTATCCCAGTACTTCTGTGTTATTTAATTGTTTGTAGCTTGTAACTTGTAACTAACTCATAAGACTGAATCTCTTTCTTGGTTTATATGTTTTTCAAACACAAATTTGAATGGAGTGATTCGAAAATTAATAAACATACGCA